TATTTGTTTAAAAATCTAGCGCCACATCATGCACCAATCACTACGAAATCGTGCCGCCACTCAGTTTCCGATCACAAATTGATCGAAGCCGAAACCAAACAATTATTGCTAAACAAGATCACAGAGCCTTCTATATCTCCTTGGCGGGCACAGGTTCTTGTAACAACCAACGAGAGACATAAGAAACGGATGGTAATTGACTACAGCCAAACGATAAACCGTTTCACCTATTTAGATGCTTATCCTCTGCCACGAGTGGATGAACTAGTGGAAAAGGTGACTCAATATTCTGTGTTCATTACACTTGATCTGTAAGGTGCCTATCACCAAATTCCCATTCGACAAGAGGAAAAACCATGTATGGCATTCGAGGCTTGTGGTAAGTTGTATCAGTTCTGCCGCATTCCATTTGGGGTTACGGAGTGACCTGCTTTCAACGTAAGATAGATAATATCATCCATAAAGAACATCTACAAGATACATTCGCGTATGTGGACAACGTTACAGTGTATTTGTATTTGTATAACTTGTGCAAGCATATATGCTTACATTTCAGCTAAAAATGTACACTGTTCGTCACGCAGAGTGAATTAGTAATAATAAGAACGAAAGGTAAAGAACGTCCGTGATATAAGTTTCATGTACGAAACTTTTGACGTAGTTCATTTGAGACCTGTTTCTTTTTGGTAAGTAGTCAGGCCAAGTAGGGTACAGGGGAATTTTTATAAATGTTAATCCGAGAGGGTAGATGTCGAAATGAGGAGCGTGTGGACGGATGAGAACGACAAGACGATAGATTAGGGTGTAGTGGATGAAGAGGATCATCTAGAATCTTTTGGGCGAATTTAAAACAAGAGTTGATGTGACCATCAATGAGTTCCGTGATTAATAAATCGATTCAGATTAGTGATGCACGACTGATTACCACCAAACCACGGCGAATTGTTTTGAAGTTTTAAAAGACCGGAAAACACTACAGGGGAGCAATAAATTAGAATGAGTAAAACGCATTGATGAAGGAAAGATGACAGGACTGAGTGTGGGGTTCGGAATTGTCTGAGTTTGCGTAACTGAAAAGATAATCGTCTGTTTTCCCATACAGTTGTAGATGTGTAGATCAACGAAGGTTACTGTCGATGGTGACACTAAGGTACTTGAGTGAGGTCATTCTGGATACAGGTTTACCGTTAAGGGTAGCAGAGTCCGTTGTTAATGAAGAGCGGGAAAGACCGAAAATACACTCTACGCACTTGGATATGTTAAGACTGAGACCAGATTGGTCAAATAATTGTTGGATGTGGGATAGGTTTTCAGTAAAAGAATGAAATTCCGAAGGAGATGAAACTGTCTGACACAAAACAACGTGATCAGCATATTTTCGGACGTGCGCAGGGAGTGGGACCGAAAGATCACTAATAAAGACAGAAAAAAGATATGGAGATAGAACAGCACCTTGAAGAACACCAAAATTATAAACAAGAGGTTTTGATATCCTCCTTCCTAATTTAGTGCACTGGACCCTCTGTGTGAAATAGTCAGCAAGTCATAAGAGCAGTTGTTTTGGAGGGCCAAAAGATTCAAGTTTGAAAAGAAGGGATGATCGGGAAACCGAATGAAACACAGACGAATGGTCAAGAAGAACACAACGGACAGACTTGACCGAATTGTTCAATGACTTGCTGATAAAATGCACTAGAGTAGACACCGCGTCCAATGTGCAGTCGTGACCCGAAAGAGCATGATAAAAGACTCCGCAACTTCATGGATGCCGCTAACAGACACGGTATAACGTTCAATGAACACAAGAGTGTAATTGGCGCTAAGAAAATTATTCTTCTCGGGTACGAAGTTTCCAAAGGCTTAATCAAGCCAGACCCCGAACGATTCTGACTTAAGGAAACTAACTCCCGCGAAGGACATCGCTTCGCAAAGACGAGTGGTGGGGATGCTGGTGTACTATGCCCATTGAATTCCGATAAAATTCACCCACTAGTGCATAACCACACCTTTCCCATTCCGGACAGTGTAAAATCCTCTTTCGAAGAGTTGAAGAAAGAGCTAGAAAAGGCCGCTACTTTTACCGTTGATTACAATCGCCTACTAACCGTTGAAACTGATGCATCCGACATCGCAATAGTGGCAACACTTAATCAGGACGGACGTCCGGTGGCTTTCTTTTCACGTGCCTTTTCCCCTAGTGAGCGCCACCACACAGCGATCGAAAAAGAAGCGTGCGCTATCGTAGAAGCCCTATGGAAGTGTAAACATCTACTCGGGAACCACTTCACTCGTATCACGGACCAGCGTTTAGTTGCCTTTATGTACAACAAACAGCACAAAGGCGAAGTGAAAAGCGATAAAATTCCGAGATAGAAATTAGAGCTATCATGCGGTATCACTCGCCAAAGTTCGTTGTCAAGTAGCTCGGTAGGTATGAATTGCATATTCTGAAGCCTCGTCAGCCACTGAATCTGGGGGCCTTCAACGTGAGGAATCTGATGCAGGTAGGTCAACAAGCATGTCTGGCGCGTACAATGGACTCTTTGGGAATGGATGTCTGCTGCATGTCGGAGAATCGATTCCAGGATCCTAGTACTATATGCCACTTAAGTGCACCGCGTTTGTCTTTGAGGTTCTTCATCTGCACCTTAGTTGATGACGAAGCCCGTGGTGTGCGCATTATACTGAATAATACAGCCGAAGCCGCACTACTTGATTAGATCCCCGTCAACAGCCGCTTATGTGCGATGCGGCTCCAAGGGTCTATCAGTGTCCGGAAGGGAAGCAACACCAAAAGGCGTTTATTCATCATTTCAGCGTGTGCTCCGACGCACAAAGGACGAGTTTTACGATAAACTCATCGAAGATATAGTTGTCTCAACAGACTCACCTTCTGAGGCGGAAATCCGTAAGAAGTTCTAAGCCTTGGGACGTCACAAAGCGCCGGGCTCCGATGGCCTTTACCCTGCTCTATTCAAAGATGGCGGAATAAAGCTCGTTAGAGAACTACAAGTTCTGTTCGCTAAAGTGTGGTACACTGAGCAAGTCCCCTGCTCGTTGGGATAATCGAGTGTTGTTCCATCTTTAAAAAGGGCCTGCACAGTGACTGCGCCAATCATAGGGGTATAAGCCTCATCCCGATAGCGTCAAAGCTATTGGCGTCCGTCATTCTCCGCCGGTTGTACACTACGCACGTGCAGGCCGGGTTTCGTGCCGGTGGTGGATGGATCGATCAAATCTTCACCCTCCGACATCTGCTAGAGCATCGTCACGCTTATCGAAGACCGACTATCATTGTATTCTTAGACATTTGCGTGGCCTTCGACTCTGTCGATAGGACCGCAATATGGAACTGTTTCTTGAGCAATGGAGTATCTGAGAAGTGTGTCGATCCTCAAACAGTTGTATCGTCAGGTCGGGTCAGGGCCTATGGCCAACTTTCTTCACTCTTCGCCGTCTCTAGTGGAGTTCGGCAAGGCTGCCCTATATCCCCAATCCTTTTCAACTTTGTCGCAGAAGATATTTTATGCAATGCTTCTTCCGGCCTAGCAAGCGGCGGAGTCAAACTCCTCCCAGGAAAATGAGTTCTTCACTTGGAATATGCCGATGACATCGACTTGCAAGGTGACAACAAAGTTAGTAAAAAAATCCGATAAAACGCGTGGCGACCGAGGTATCCAGATATGGTATGTGCTCCG